AGCATCTGAAGCTCTGAAAAATAATGCCTATGTCGATGACATAATTACAGGAGCGGACACGCTTGAGTCAGGTCAGCAAATGCAAAATGAATTAATCGAATTACTCGGCAAGGGGGGTTTTCAATTACATAAATGGTGTTCAAACAGTCCACAGTTATTAAAAAATATTCCACCTGATAAGCGCGAAAATTTAAGTTTAACATTATCAAACGACAAATTATCAATTAGAACTTTGGGTATTATTTGGAATCCGCAAAATGACGAATTTGAAATATGTGTGTCCAATGATATTTTAAATAATATGAGTTGTACAAAACGTACTATATTATCTTGCATAGCTAAGGTTTTTGATCCTTTAGGGTTCATAGGTCCTATAACCGCACGTGCTAAGATGATTATGCAAGATATCTGGAAGGAAAAATTAGATTGGGATAAACAAATACCACCGCATATTTTAAAGGTTTGGTTACCATTTAGAGAACAATTAGTAGTACTAAGAGGTATTTCAATTATACGTCCATACATTGTTGAAAATGCTATTAGAATACAACTACATGGATTCTCGGATGCATCCTTGAAGGGATATGGTGCAGTAATTTACATACGGTCCGAAGATAGCCAAGGAAATATAATTTGTAAGTTGGTATGTTCTAAATCACGCGTAGCCCCATTAAAGACAATATCGCTACCCCGGTTAGAATTATGTGGTGCTGTATTACTCACCCAATTGATGTACAAGGTAAAAATAGCTTTAAAATTAAATGTGCATGAAACATATTATTGGACCGATTCAATGATAGTTCTAGCATGGATCTCGTCAGAAGCTACTAGATGGAATATTTTTGTTGCGAACCGCGTATCTGAAATACAGGAATTATCTGACAAAATTAACTGGTACCATGTTAAATCACATGATAATCCTGCGGATTTAATATCGCGAGGAATGGATCCCAGTTCTCTTATCAATAGTTATCTTTGGTGGCACGGTCCATCGTGGTTACAATTGACCAGCAACAATTGGCCCATCAGTCATGAAAGTTTAAACGATATTAAGTTACCTGAGGAAAAGTCTCATACTCCTAGTTGTGTTTCAAAAACTGGAGAAGTTAATTATTTTTATCAATTACTCGGTAATTACTCATCCTTTAGTCGTCTACAAAGGATTATAGCTTATGTGTTACGGTTTATAAGTAATATTAAGTTCAAAGGGAAACAAAAACAATTAGGATTTCTTACGTCGTCTGAATTGGAAAATTCATTAAAATTCATAGTCAAACAAGTTCAGACTGAATGTTTCGGTTCAGAAATTGATTATTTAAAACGTAATAAGGGTGGAGATTTAAAAAATAATCGATTACGTTTACTAAATCCCTATTTGGACGATGAAGGATTGCTAAGAGTGGGCGGTCGATTGAGGCATTGTCCCATAAGACTAGAACAGCGACATCCTCTTATTCTACCTGCCAAAAATCACGTAACACGCTTAATAATTATATATGAGCATGAACGTTTGCTACATGCAGGCACTCAATTATTGTTAGCAAATATTAGATTAAAGTTTTGGATATTGCATGCACGAAGCAGTATTAAAGAGGTAATACACAAATGTCTTAAATGCTTTAAATTTCGAGCTAGCACTGCGACTCAGATCATGTCGGATCTACCTAGTGTTCGTATAACTCCAGCACGACCATTTTTACATGCTGGCGTGGACTATGCCGGTCCAATTGAGATACGTCAGTCACGTATAAGAAAATCAGTTATAAGTAAAGGTTACATTTGTCTGTTCATTTGTCTTTGTACAAAGGCCATCCATTTGGAACTTGTGTCAAATATGACAACTAAAACATTTTTAAATGCATTAAATAGATTCATGTCACGCCGTGGCAAATGTTCAAAGATTTTTAGTGATAACGGGAGTAATTTCAAGGGTGCAAGTCAAGAATTAAATGAATTATATAAGATGTTTAATCAAAAGTCAAAATCAGAACAGTTATATACCGCGTTAGCAAAAGATAATATAGAGTGGATTTTTATCCCACCCTTTTCACCTCATTGGGGAGGCATTTGGGAAGCTGGTGTTAAGTCTGTTAAATACCATCTTAAAAGAATTCTTGGTTCTGCAGCTTTGACTTACGAAGAATTGAATACAGCTCTCGTTCAAATTGAGGGAGTATTGAATTCTAGACCTTTATGTCCTATAAATGATGATCCTGACTCGTACGAATATTTATCTCCAGGTCATTTTCTTACTGGTAGTGTGTTAATCTCTTTACCCGAAGTAGATGTAACAGCGTTACCTACCAACCGATTGAAGGTTTGGCAACAAGTCCAACAATTGAAGCAGGTATTTTGGAAACGTTGGAATTCCGAATATATAATGGAACTCCAACAGAGAAAAAAGTGGCATAACCATAAACCCGATGTGAAAATTAATAATTTAGTGTTAGTTAAGGAGGACAATGTACCCCCTCAATCGTGGTGCATTGCTAGAGTGATAGACATTTTTAAAGGCAAAGACAATCACGTTAGAAGTGTGTTACTTAAAACTAAAAATGGGATATATACTCGCCCTATTGTAAAAATTTGTGTTCTTCCAATTAGTAATATGTCTTGAAATTAGTGTAATTTCAACGGCGGCGGGATGTTACCGCGCATGTGTCATGTAATGTATCTCTTTGTCCGACCGTGTGGTCAGTCCAGTGTTACCAGATCTCCTGTTTTAACAGGAGATCTCCTGTTTTCACTCTCACTCTCCTGTTCTACTGTTTTCACTATTAGATCTCCTGTTTTTAGTTTCAATGTCTATTCTTCTGGTTTCTCTATGAAATCTTCTGTTGATTATACTAATTTTCCCCAGAATAAGAATATTTTAGTACGACACTGTTCTCTAACGGCACTGTGTTCGTCACTTGTCAATATTTTCAGTCCTGTTATATTTTCTGTAGCCCAGTTCATGTACATATTTAAATTTTAAATCCGCAATTCGCGTTTATATGAGCTGGGCCTAACAGAATAGAAGGCGAGTTCGTTTACTTCAGCGGGATTCCGGGATTTGTCATTAAACGAACTCCTACTTTATATATTTTGCTATATTTTGTGCATGTACTTGTGTTCCTCTATAAAAAAATATATTTATTAAAATCTCCTGTTGAAAAAAGAAATCTCCTGTTTTTTTGGTTTCTCCTACTGTTGACAGAAATTTCCATCTGGCAACACTGGGTCAGTCGTTGTTGAGTTGTTGATTTGTTCAGTTGTCGCAGTTGGTGGCAGTCTGAACGTAATATATGTTCTTTGAAAAAATATTGTTTATTTTTCTTTTGAATCAACAACAACAGGTATAAAGAAGACCAGCAGAAAAAAGACGAAGGAAACAGGGGCTTTTAAAAAATAAGATTTACAAAACACCTTCGCGAGATATTAATCATGTGAAAGAAAAAATCATAAACGCTTGTAGGTAATGAGTTAAACGACGAAATGTTAATAAACGCAGCCCACAAGGAAGTCAGGCGAAGATTGGATATGTGTCTTGAAATGAGAGGTCATATTGAGAATAGATTGTAATATGCATATGCATTATATTTTCACACTCCTCATTCTGCCACCCGTTTCCCAAGACTTTTTAATTTTCCCTGCCCTAAAACTAATCTGTTAAAATTTTCATCTTTGTACGTAATGATTCTTAATTATCGTCAGATACAAAATTCTGTGGATATTTTTCATGATACTATTAGACGCATCAAACAAAAGTCTTTACAAATTAGTAAATTATGTTCCGAGTATTTATGTAGTAGACTAGGCGGTATATGTGTTGCTTTGGGTGAATCGTATATCCACGGAGATTTTTGGCTTTTTGGCTTTCAAATATCAGTAGAAATGAAAATTTTTCTATGCGCATAAAAAAAACGTGGGCTTAACTTTTGGCAGCACAATGTGTTAAAAAAATCGAAAAATGTATTTGTCTTCCTATTTAATTATTAATATTTCAAGAGTTGATTTTAGACGAAAATGGAAGAGGAAAAAAATTTTTGTAATTAAATTTTACAAATTATGACTATTTACAAATCGAATGAATCATGATTATTATTGTAAAAATCGAAAAAATCGCCAAAAATGGGGTTAAAAAACATATTACTTTTTAGGGAATTTTTTTTTGGGGTCTTTAAGTTGGGTATAAGACCTTCATACTTGGCTCAAGAAAAGTTCATGTTATGTAGATTCATCACACCAAATTTCATCAAAATCGGATCTATAGATTTTGCAAAATATTTTGCAATCCAGATTTTCAAGCTTTCAAACGATTTTTGAAAAATTCGAGTCGGTCAATTAGGAGAGCTCTGGCACATATTGTGCCGCCAAAAGTTAAGCCCACGTTTTTTTTATGCGCATAAAAAAATTTTCATTTCTAGTGATATTTGAAAGCCAAAAAGCCAAAAATCTCCGTGGATATACGACTCACCCAAATATGGACACTTTGAAACAGATACCGTCTGGACGAAAATAAATAAATATGTATGTAGTATGAAAGCGTTTGCCTCATTTTTTAAGTTTAGTTATTGTTATCATCACCTTTTGTTTTAACTGTAATAAAGAATTATCTAGTTTAATCTCTTTTATTTATTCCTAATGACATTTATGCACTTTAAACAACGAACAGTCAATTATTTTCCAACGACTACTTGATCCTTTCACCGCTAATGTGATTTTTAGGTGGTATTTCTTTTGAAACTCTTTAGGACGATATTGCTTATAACTTTTAAACGGGAAGTAGGTAAAACAGAAACAGGTAATTAAAGTTATTAGAAAAAAGAGAGCTTTTTAACAGGAAAAAAAAATTGAATATGTTTCTGGAAAAAATATAATTGATGACGTCATTAGTCGTTTCTGTTAAATCCCAAAGATAATATTTTCGATTGAAAATGGAGCTTACCTCATCCCATTTAACACCACGTGTCCCAAATTGTCTTTAAATTTTTTGTATCCTCACAGTAGACCCATACTATCGAGTTTGAGACATCCTGTACAATAAATTATTAAATAATTGAAGTTCAGATGATTTTTTAAAGTAAATTTTTGAAAAATTATTATCAAATTTTTAATTCAAGATTTAATAACATGATGGCCTACCACGATTCTTTTTTTGATGGGGGTTAAATGTGCCAGAAGAACCCTGTCAAAGTTTTGACATTAATTGAGATATTCATTAATGAGTAGAATAAGTAATTGAAATAAATTCAAATATATCATGAATTGTTACACCCTTAAATTGGCATATAAAATTTAAAAATGAGTGCGCCTTTATAGAAATAAATTATTTTCTATGGAAATTACTACAATAACTACGTGCTATTCAATTTCGAAACCGCAAAAAAATCTTGGCAGGGTCAGAAATTGCAACTAAAGGATATACTTTCCACATGCGTATGTTCTGATATTTAACCCAATAAAATGTATTTGAATTTCATTTGTTACTATAATTTTTATTATTTAATTATTATTTTAATGGCTTGTATGTACACCTATAAATCCGGACACACTGTATGTAAGTATAGATACTCATAAATAAGAAACACTTACAGTTACTTGCAAAACGTGCAAGTTGCAACGTTGCAAAAGTTTCCACTAGCACTAAGGCGTTTTGATTTTGCGACACATTTTTATATCAAAATCCAAAATTTAAACAGAGGTTAAGAATGTTAATCCAGGTCTTATAAAACCCCTTAATATTCTCATTGAAAGATTAGAAGAATAACGTAATTTAATTTATCTACGATCAGTGGCGAAAATACTTATGTCGTAATTTATAAAGTGGTTTTTCATTGTTTCAATCCAAAATATAATAAAGGAAGCCCAACTATCAACAACAGATGCTATACAGGGTGCTCTTAAATTGTCCTACGATTTGTTTTAAACGAATTAATAATAATGGAGACAAGCTGTTTTAATTGATGATGGATATCATATTTTTTTCTATATCTTGAAAGTTTCAAGGCGGTTTTATAAAGAAGAGGAAGACCATCGGCCAAATATTTGCAAATACTACGTTATAGCTATAGACAAAACTTAAGATTACATTCGCTGATTATTTATTGATTATAAAAAACATGATTCGATACATAATAACGAGCGTTCAAATAAAAACGTGGTCGAAGTTGGCTCTGACACATTGGACGTAGGGAGTAGCTTATAGCGACCAACTTAACCTCATTTCTCAACGAGCTGTATAGCAGCTGTCAGTTTCAATAACGTTAATGACTATATAACTTTATTTTAAAGAATAATCGTGATAACAATAACAAACAATTAAAGGAACTGCGTAAAGTGTCCCCCTCCTTGTTATAACAATAAATTAAAGCAGCTGCTGAAAGTGTCCCCCTTCTTGTTCCAAGCACTTTTCACACCTGTTCCTCAAAGAATTAAAGACATTTTCTAAGATGCTCGAGGTATTGTTAATTTCACGAATCTTGTCTATAAGTCGAGCCTGCAGATGGTTTAAATCAGGAATAGGCAGTTCAAAAATAGTGGTTTTAAGGTAAGGCCACAAAAAGAAATCACACGGCGTAATATCACATGACCTCGGTGGAAATTCATGTTCAGCACTGAGACTTATTAGTCGATTTTGGAAAACTTCCCTTCACAAATTCATCGTCTCGCCTACCGTATGTGCCCTTGCGCCATCTTGTTGAAAGTAAAAGTTTGTAATTTCGTTTTCTTCCAGCTGGTTAATAAAAGGAGCGATAATTTCTTCTCTATACCTTTGCGCAGTAAGAGTACCATTAAAAGAAATAGGTCCATAAATCCTCCTTCGATTGAGAGCACACCAAATTCCAATTTTTTGAGCGTGTAGAGGGCCCTCGACAAAAAAGTTATCTGGTGTTTCAGATGACCACATTCTCATATTCTGTGAGTTTACGTAACCACTTAAATTAAACCAGGCTTCATCAGAAAAAAAGGTGATGTTATGAAGTTCACCGTAGTTGTTTAAAAACCATTCACAAAATACAGCCCGTCGCGGAAAATCAACTTCATGAAGTTCTTGCTGACAAGTTAAACGATAGGAGAACAAACGCAAATCTTTTTTTAACACTGTGTGGTAGGTACCGACTGATACTCCCACCATTTGTGATAAAACACGTACAGAAGTTCTTGGCGCATTTTCCATTATTTGTTGGACATTTTCTTTTAATTCTTCAGTCCGCTTTTTAGGTCGGCCGCTTCCTTCTTTTCTTGTTACACTGCCCGTTTCACGAAAAACATTAACACAACGCTGAACTGCACTTTGAAAAATTTTGTACTCAACAACGCCGGGAAATTGATTTAGAAATTCTATGAAACATTCCTCAATAGAATACTTCCATATTCCATCAATCTTGCGTCCATTTCTAAAGTAGGACTCTATGATAAACACTTTTTGTTCTTGAGAAAACACCATTTTAAACGCTTTTTAAAACGAAAATATTCAAATTGATAGCGGCGATATAGCGCTTTGACAGATGACGTTTAAGTTCATTTGCTATACGCTACGTTCTACGTCCAAATTTTCAGAACCAACTTGACCACGTTTTTATTTGAACGCTCGTTACTTATATAATATACAGGGTGTCCGGAAATGATGAGCAAAAAATTCAGGGGATAATTCAAGACCGAAAATAAATGCTACCTCTTTCTATAACATTTTTTCCAAAACTGATTATTAACGGAGTTACAGGGTATTAAAGTTAAATTTTATTTGCAGTTTTTTTGCAATACCTTTTGCCACATTCATAATATTTTGACGAAATTTCGTATATGGGGGTTTTTCGGGATGAGGATTATAAATTTGCCCACCGTTTTTTCGCATTTTGTAGAGGGCGCCACATACGAGCCTTTATTTTGATTTGAATGGTTCCAACTTTTTTGTGCTACACTTTATGCGACTTTTGACTGAATATTTTTGTTCTCCTAACCTTTTGACATAAAAAAGGTATACTTTATTTGTTTCGATAAATCTAACCGTTTTCGAGAAAAACGCTAAAATAACATTGCTTGCATGTGATGAATACGAAATCATTTTAATTTATTTTCTACATTAAACATAGCATGCTTTGGAAACAAGCGCTTAGTTGCCTTGGAAACAAGTTTGTGGAGAATTAGTTTTGACAGATAGTAATTTTTGTGAAAATTTGTTGTTACGCTGATGGTGGTTAATGATAAATAATAAAAAAATAACGTCCTCAACAAATAAAGAATGGTTTACTAACAAAATCATAAGGTTAAAATACATAAGTTACTAGAACAATACAAATACAAATTAAACATTCAAATCAAAGGTTCAAAGTGACGTCCTTCCTCTTCAATGCATAAATTAATTCTTCTTAAAAAATTCCGACGAACTCTATGGAATATTCCTTCCTTTTGCTTAATTACCTCACAATTAGCAACAATTCTTTCTCTCAGTTCATCGACGCTATTCACAGGTGTCCTGTATACAAGCGTCTTCAGATAGCCCCAAAAAAAGAAATCGATTGGGTTTAAGTCAGGGGATCTAGGGGCCCACTGTACAAAACCACCGCGTCCTATCCACCTTTCAGGAAAAGTTTCATTTAAGAATTCTCTGGCCGCTAAACTAAAATGCGGTGGCGCGCCATCTTGAAGCAGCCACATTGCATTTCTTAATCCGAGTGGTACATCTTCCAATAGAATAGGTAAGTGGTTTCTTAAAAAATCCAAGTAAACTTCACCATTGAGTCTTTGTGGAAAGAAATGTGGCCCAATTAAGTAGTCCCCTACAATACCGTCCCACACGTTGACGGAAAACTTATTTTGATAACCACGCTCTATTGGTAAATTAGGATTCTCATCAGACCAAAAATGCTCATTGTGAAGGTTTATTAAGCCATCGTGGCCAAATCCAGCTTTGTCCGCGAAAAGGATATTGCGAACAAGATTTTGGTCACCATTATGAAGTATTCTAATTATATTGCAGAAATTCACACGAGCAGCAGGATCTACGACAGATAAGGCTTGCACCTTTTGGTAGTGGTACGGATGAAGGTTTTGTTCGCGTATTGTTTCATGTACGGAGCTCTTTGGAATGCCCTCCTGAATAGCAATTTTTCTTATACTTACATTGGGATTATTCTCTATCGAATTCAAAATACGAGCTTCTGCTTCTGCTGTTCTAGTATTCCGTTGTCGACCTACATCAAAAATTCTAGTTTTGAACGATCCAAATTCTCCCAGTCTTCGATGAATAGTACTGAACATTCGCGATTGGGGTAGGTTTCTATTTGGAAATGCTTCGCGATACAAACGTCGTGCTGCAAGAGCATTGCCAGCAGCTAAACCGTAATAATAATGCATGTCCCGCAACTCCACGTTAGAGTAATTGTTGTTCATTTTTATTATTATTTTTATGATAACAATTACTACAAAAGAACTTGTACAAAATTACTATCTGTCAAAACTAATTCTCCACAAACTTGTTTCCAAGGCAACTAAGCGCTTGTTTCCAAAGCATGCTATGTTTAATGTAGAAAATAAATTAAAATGATTTCGTATTCATCACATGCAAGCAATGTTATTTTAGCGTTTTTCTCGAAAACGGTTAGATTTATCGAAACAAATAAAGTATACCTTTTTTATGTCAAAAGGTTAGGAGAACAAAAATATTCAGTCAAAAGTCGCATAAAGTGTAGCACAAAAAAGTTGAAACCATTCAAATCAAAATAAAGGCTCGTATGTGGCGCCCTCTACAAAATGCGAAAAAACGGTGGGCAAATTTATAATCCTCATCCCGGAAAACCCCCAGATACGAAATTTCGTCAAAATATTATGAGTGTGGCAAAAGATATAGCAAAAAAACTGCAAATAAAATTTAACTTTAACACCCTGTAACTCCGTTAATAATCAGTTTTGGAAAAAATGTTATAGAAAGAGATAGGATTTATTTTAGGTCTAGAATTATCCCCTGAATTTTTTGCTCATCATTTACGGACACCCTGTATAGCAAAACACAGTTTTGTTGAAATGT